AAAGTTTAAGGCTCAGAACTTCATTTTCATTATTTTTACTGTTCTTCTATTTGGTGAGGCCCATGAATAGAAAATGATCCTACTTTTGCCTTTATGATAATGGCATTTTTTCTTATACTTATTTATTTATTTATAAGTTTTTTTTTAAGATTTTATTTATTTATTTGACAGAGAGAGAGATCACAAGTAGGCAGGGAGGCAGGGAGGCAAGCAGAGAGAGAGGAGGATGCAGGCTCCTCGCAGAGCAGAGAGCCCGATGTGGGGCTCGATCCCAGGACCCTGGGATCATGACCTGAGCCGAAGGCAGAGGCTTTAACCCACTGAGCCACCCAGGCGCCCCATATACTTATTTAGATAGAAAAGCAAGACCACTTAAATTTAAGAATTACTATATAATTCTTATTATACTATACTATATAATACTTATATATAATAATACTATATAATATATAGAATATATATAATAATACTATGTAATACTTATAATTACTATATAAGAATTACTATATAAGACCTACTGTCTTCAGCTATAGCAAGGGTCAGGAGAGTGGTATTTACATGACTGAAGTTGAGACCCCATGTACTAGTCTATACCCTTCATCGCTGTGCTCAAGGCCCTCTCCCAGCATTGGGGACACCTGTCCACTGTCTTGTCACCAGATCCCCCACCATGCAAACCCGAAAGCCCCTAGGTCAAGGGTGGTGATGCCCAGACACTTGGGGCATAGAAGAGGTAGAGAGGCCCCGGGATAGGAGGTATAAATCCAATGTACTGTCGGGGCTCTTTTTTCCCACAAGGCTTGATTTCCACTGGGATCCACAGCCTCGCTGAGTGGCCATCTGTTCTCTCCCAGTATTGGCCAACTGGGGCATTCTTGAAGAACCCAATTCCTTCAGGTCTCTGTGAGCCAAATAGCCACCCTGGAGCCCAAATTTGCAACACAGATGAACTGGCAGGTGGGGTCCATTAGGATCTGCGACCCGGCCAGTATGTCCCTGGGGCTTGATGCATCCCTGGAACCAAGGGGCTCGCTGAGTGTTGGGTTCAAAGCCCAGCTCTACCACATACAATCAGTGGGATGCTGGGTGAGGTATCTAAGCTCCCTGGGCCTCCCCTTCCTTGTCTGAGGAGAATGATGTTTCCTGCCTCAGGAAACTGGGATTACTGGGAGGACAAGTTCACATGGGCATGGCATTTAGCAACAATGCCATGCATGTTAGTCTGAGTGCCATGGCCTGGTTCCTAGCAAATGCTCAATCACACCCAATTATTTTGATCTGTGTTCATTTACTAGTAGTACAATCATTATTGTGGATTAACACTTCGAAGAATTAGAACAGCTCTCCAGTTTTTTGTAAGAGCCATTCACAGATACAGGCAGGGCAAAATTTTAAGGTCAAAGCCTCACGTATACCCAAATGATGTCATACGTATCAGTGGAACTAACGTACGGATTGACCCTCAGAGGAGTCCAGCGGTGCGTGGGCTAGTACCTTTCTTAGCAAAAGGAGTGTTTTGTGAGGAAAGAAGCAGAGGCTCCATCTGGCCGGCTGGGTTTACATAATCAAGCTTGAATGCAAGCCGGCTGCTTCAGGAAGTTCTACGAAGGAAGAAATTCTTGTCCAACAAAAGTTCTTTTTCTACAAAAAGGCAACATAATGAAAAGGGCATGACTGCAGACTGTTCCAAAATGTTCCGGACTGTGGGAGAATTTCACACATAGTGGCCATGAGCCCATAAAGCAAATGGTATGTCTATGTCATTAGGTGCCAACTGGGGGGACATTCTGTCCCATCCTCTCCTCCCCAGAGAATCTCTGGGGATATACATTTCTGTTTTGGAGCCTTGGGGACAGTCTTGGTTTGCAGTGAACTTACCATACATGCTGGAATCAGTCGCGTTCTAACTGGGCCTCAGTTTTCCCATCTGCAAAATGAGACTATTGGACACAGGGCATCTAACATACTTTCTAGCTTTGATAATTAATTACTGTTTGATATCAATAAGGGTAAGATTTGGTAGTTCATTTCTTGGAATACAATTCAAACCTTTAAAGAAATCAGGAGCTGGTTCTCCACCATGATCCCAGTTGGGCTGTGAAGGCTGGTGAGCCCTTACATGGATGATTTGTGTGTTTTTCTGAATGATTTTGTGTGTGCAACCAAGGGTATCCAGGGCTAACTATTATTGCTGCCTGCCCAGCTTTCTTGTCCCTCTCTTCTAGAATAAAGCCCATTTTTTCCCCTTTGGAGAGTCCCCTGCCCACATCAGTGAGGCTGTCAATCACTGGGCCTCTCTCTCCCAACTCCCTTGAATAAGGTAATTGGAAGTGTGATCCAAAAATGACAGTAAGATTCCCTTTAGGGAGCTAATGTGGATGCTTGAAAGGAGAGGGTCCCTGCCCTTCAACCCCAGAATGCTCAAAGCTGTTGGGAGTCATCTTTGCCACCAAGTAGAAAGAACCAGCAAGGACTGATGTTAACCCATGGAAAGTTAAGAGGAAACGGGAAAAAGAGAAAGGGAGGGAGGAAGGAGAGGAAGAAAGGGAAAGAGAAAAGGTGGGAAGGAGGAGAGGAGGGAGGGATAGAAGAGAGAAGCAGGGGGAGATTGAGAGAGAGAAAAAACAAAGGGGATGGGATGGTGGGAAGGAAGGAAGAAGGGAGATCCCGCCAATGACTTAATTTCTTAATGTGAACCTCTGGATTCAGCTACGTGTCAAGGGAAATTTGTGCCTTGCTCACTCCTGTGAAGTGAGTATACAACTTCCCTCAGCCATCCTTTTTTCTGCAAGACCTTAGGTTCCTCAAATGAACACCCGTGACCCCAAAAGATTAGAAACCACCACAATCGGAACATTTATTAGAGATGGAATGAACTCACTTCAGAAAGAAACAAAGTTTATTTGATGAATATAAATAAGGCGATCAGCACAAAGTACTCCTCATACACATGATAACAAAGTTATGAACTGTACATACCTTGTATGCTGTTGTACTTCTACTAGACACGAGGTTACAATGACTGGCTAATACATGCCCACTGGTAGTTTCTAAGGGTTCCTTAGTTTTATGTATTGTTTTCATATCGAAGTCCATAATCACATGGTCAATATTCACAACCCACATGCCACTCACTTGGAGAAAAATTACAAGAAGCACTATCAAACAAGGGTCTCCGGGAATTAGATACACTGACCCCTGGTAGCATTCAAACGCCACTCTACACAAACACATCTCAGAGAGAGCCTATGTCAACACATTTGAGGTCTCATCATAAACACTGTTTAAAAAGTAAATTGAAACCCACTTTCAAATGAAAGTTGACACGCTGTTAACGTGCATACTGGATACACAAAAATCATTAAATACAAAATCGAGACTGTACATCAAAACCAAATGGGGTATAAAGTACAAGCCTGTTTTTGCACAGAGCAAGAAGACCAACTTCTCCTAAATGTTAGCCTCCACTTTCTTTTTCCAACCTCATTATGATTAGAGGGGTACCTGCTAATGTTTGCGCAAAGGAAATATCTCCCCAACATCACAGTGTTTGTTGTAAACCCAGAGACTATTTTTGTGAAAAAGGGAATTTTTTTGGTAACCCCCAAAACATCAGAGAATATTACACGAAATGGGAAAATGTGCTATGTCAGATGGAATTTAATTTTTAAGGGACTAAGTAATATGCCCCCATAATGGTGAGATTGATAATACTTTAACCCAACAAAAGTGGGGCCAAAAAATGCCCCCCCAAACAACAGCTGTGATAAAATTGGCACATACTGAGAAATAGCTAACTATATGTGGTTGGTTGCTTTTTATGTTTCGAGGACCCTAGTTTCCCTAGTGGGTTTCCTACTCCTACTTCAAGTATTCAGTTGCAGAGTTCAGGTCAGGATCTGGCTGCAGGAGGCGGGGAGGACCGCCTTTTTGAGGACACCAAAATTGTTCACGGGGACACGCTTACGTGGCCTGGGTTTTCAGTGCGACATTATGTCAAAATGTGCTATAAACATTTGCAAAGAACTCTGCTCTCTTCTCCAGTCAAGATCCTAAAACCCTTTGATAGTTAAAGGACAAACTCTTTAAACATGAATGTATTTGGATTGTTTATGCGACACGAAAGCTTTACGTAGTTCGCTATACTTACTGACGACAAGAACAAAGCCAGAAGCAAGAAACCTGCTTGGATATATTACTCCTAACGCACCAAGGATGAACAGTGCAACCCAGACACAGTTTCATCTTCCCCGACAAATAAGGTGTCTGTCTTTTAAATATCTCTATGGCTCACGGGAGAGGTCTGGAGTTCATTGCACCAACATTTTGAAAAGTGATAATAACAACTAAATTCAATGCAAGACTTCAGGAGCATCTGTGTGGAATCCTTCCCACAGCAGCAAAGAAAGACAACTGTATTTATTAAGGCCACTCATGCTTAACTTCACTGTTTATCCTTGTAAGAATGCAGATTTTCGTCTCCCACTTGCGTACCTGTGGAAGGCTTTCTTCCATTGACGAGAAAGTGGATCAATGCGAGAGTTGCACATGTTTGCCAGACTGGTTGTGAGTTTTATGCAGTTAAAACAACCTTCCTTATTTTTTCATTTTCAGAGAAAGCAGTAGGAGTTAAATCCTCCTTAGTACCATGTCACTGTATGGAAAAGACCTCCAAATTTGGTCTCTTTCCCTGGCATATGCTTTACATAATGACTCTGTACCCACACACGTGTTGTGTAGAGCTATATACAGACACACAGCTTTTGTGATTATTCCTCATTCATCAATGTTTTCATGTTTGATGCTGAAAATGCTTTGGAATCCATGTTGGAGACATTAAAAAAAAAATGAGAAATGACCCTTCATTTCCAGAAGATCTAAGCTTACACTCGTTGCACAGCATTTGGATCTGGAAATGTGAATGAGTCCCAGCTTCTCCATGGAGACCTGCGCGTATGGGAATGGTAAGAGCCTGAGGCTCAGGTACGTCCCTGCCACAGGAATGCGTGGGCCGTACGGAATAGAAGGGTGCGGGTGCCTCAGGCTTTTGCCACTCTCCAGCACAGAAACAGGGTAGATAGGGTCATGAATGATCGATTTGGACATGCCATGCTTTGTCAGAGACACACACCACGTTCTCATAAGGCGATTTCTTGGCAAGTATTAGTGGTTTAAAAAATTGATTTCATTTCCAACCTGGCCCAGAGGTAACTACTGGTTACACCATCAAAATGTGGTTCTTCAAACAGCGGATTAAAGAAATAGAGGAGGGTAAAGGCTCACCATTTTTGGTGTTTTGGTTTCTTTATCAAACACTCCATGCATCTTGGTGTACAAACACTGCCAACACCACTCACTCACAGAATTTACACTTTTTGATAATCTGATGTCTTAGGAATGACCACTTCGACTGAACCAGCAGCAGAACCGGAGATGAAGCGAGTGGTCCAAAAGAAGCTGAAGCCACAGTTAAAATCCCACGGAGTTCAAGTTTATCCCACGATGTTTAAGGAACATAAATAAAATGTATCAAAGAATGACATTCAGAAGAGATGATCACATTTTGAACACCCAAATCCTGACCCCCCCCATCCCAAAAACGGAGGATCTGTCATTTTCCTCCTCCTCCTCGTTCTTCCTGCCCAACATATCTGAATCCATGAGAAATGACATGAGATGATAAAGGAAATATCAAGTAGAACAGAACTGTGCGCCGTAATGAAAATGAAAAGTTCCTCTTCGGTCCTGATGCGCGTTCCAGGTGGTGATGGCCAGTGACGTGAGCCACGCTGCAAGAGATTATCAGAACATTGCTGCAGAGCTGCATTTCCCCTTTAGTTAGCTCTTCTGATAGCTGCAACAAGAAAGCACATCATTTAGCAGGGAAAGCAACTGCCACTGAAGAGGAGATTACAGATAGAGCCAGATAGAGCTGATAGGGCTAGCCTTCCCATACCCCATCCCTGCATGGACCCTCTACTACTCGCTTTGGCTAGGGTTAGTTGGCATGGGGAGGACGTACAGAGGAAGGACAGAGTGAACACTAAGTTAAATTATGTCCTGTAAACACCTTTGAGAAGAGGCCTCTTTCAAAAGATGTCGCATACAGGTGTAGAGGTCTCTTGATAGACAACAAGAAAGTGAAAGGAAATATACCAAAATGTTCCAGGGATCACTTCTATGTGATCAGAGTACATGTTCAGGGCTTTTCTTTCCATGCTTTTCAACAATGAGTAAGGTTCTTCTTTTTTTTTTTAAGATTTTATTTATTTATTTGAAAGAGAGAGAGAGAGAGGAGAAAAGTCAGCAGGAGAAGCAGACTCCCTGCCGAGCAGGGATCCTTATGTGGGACTCGATCCTGCGACTCCAGGATCATGACCTGAGCTATGAGTAAGGTTCCTAAACTATTTTTAACTTCATGTTATAGACACTAGAGAGTTAAGGATGGTCAGGACACCAGAAAACTTAACATTTGCTTTCAAACCAGCTGAGACCAATAGGTTCGAAGAATACTGGACCTAGCCATTTCCACTGCTAGGTGTGATGCAGAGGAATGGGAAACAGGGACTCAGAGACTGGCACACAGATGTTCACAGTAGCGTTGTTCACAATAACCAACAGGGAGAAAAAAACCCACCACGCATCTATAACCAAAAGGAATGGATAAACAAATGTGGTATATACATACAGTGGAATATTAGTCAGCTCTAAAAAGAAATGAAGTTCTGATTCATGCCACAATATGAATGACATTGGAAGACATCACAGCAGCGAAATCAGTGAAAGGAGCCAGACAGCAAAGGACAAACATTGTATGATTCCACTTACATGAAATATCTCAAAGATATAAATTTGTGGATGCAGAAAATAGATTAGAGGACTGCCAGGGGCTGGAGGGGAGGAGGAATGGGGAGCTATTGCTTAGTGGGTATAATTAAGCGATCTTTTGGGATAGTGAAAAAGTTCTAGAAATGGACAGTAGGAGTTGTACAACCCTGTATAGGCACTGAATGCCTCTGAATTATGCTTAAGTTGTACACTTAAATGGTTAAAATGGTGCATTTTAATGTATGTTTTGCTACAGGGAAAACATTTTTAAAAAGGATATTGAATAGAAAAGAACAAAACAAAGTTGGCCTCCCCTCTTCCCCCCCCTGCACGCAAAGACGTGCGTGCTTGACCCTAAACATAAATGGAACAGCTAGCCATCCGCATGCGTCATGCTCTGGGGCACAGAGAAGCAGGAGCACCCCATGCTTCCTCACCGCCCCATCAAGAGGGCCTGGGGTGGAACACAAGTGCAGCCTGGGAAGAATCAGTAAAATGGGTGGGAAGAGAGGCCTGGCCCAGAGGACCCTTCAGAAGATGACTGGCTCCCCCCCGCCGATGCTCATTATCATTCACATATGGCCTTTGAATACTCGGGGAGTTTCCGGGCACATGGCAATAGAGCAGCTCTCTGGGGAATATGGCAGTGAGAGGAAAGATCAAACACACACACACACACACACACACTCACACATGTGTGAACCACCTTTTGTATAGAGCCTGCGCTGTCTGAATTGGTGGTCGATGCACAGAATTTCTCGAGCCACACTGACTAATGAGAGCGCCGGAGACCCCGTGTCTGTACAGGTAGGCGGTTACTCCCAGCCCTGGTTAAACAGTACAAACGAAATATGTGGCTTGGATGAACTCTGCTAATTCATACTCTGAGGAGTTTGGTGTAACCCTTCTGGTTAAGAAACTTGAATCGGGGCAAAAAAAAAAAAAAAAAAAAATGACTTTTGCAGAGCCAGAAAGCTAGGGAGTTCCTAGAGCAGATCATATTACTTATTCTGGCACATAAAATCTCTGCAAACTTCGTATGAAAATTGTAAGTCAGAGCACGCTTTCTGCTTCATGAGCTGTGCATAGCTCTAATTCTTTTGTGCATTAAGCATTTCTTAATCATCCTTTTAAAGGGCTGACCAATATATTAAAAGGCCACATGATTAAAAGGTAAAGAGAAACCCAAAGTAGTACTAAAATGCACCGGTCATATTTTACAGATGGGGAAACGAGTGAAACATAATTACAGTGAATGCCTGATGTCCTTGATGTTTTTCCAAGATAAAGTAGCAAAGAACAATCATTTATTCAGTTGAGAGAAAGATTTCCAGCTGGGTAGCCGGTCACTAGGCAGAATAGTGCCTCACTAGGGCCGTGCGCGGCTTTGGGGCAAGGTTTGCGCTGTGGAAGAGAGAACATGCAAACACATCACCACTCCTTCCACTGGACAATCCATTCACCGGGATGACAACATGGCTTTGAGAGAAAGACTCAGACGACGACGCTTCCCAGCAGTTAGAAATGCAGATGATCCCTTGCTGGGGGGCAAATAAGCCTGTGCTTTAAAAAAACGAAAAACAGGAATGAAGCAATCCAGGCAGCCCCCCACGGTGGGATAATCTCTGGCCAGTCCCGCCTCACCCGGAGGGTCACAGCTGCCCACTCTGTTTCCGAGCATCTTCTCCTGAAGCACCTGACTCGCGGTGCTCACGGGTGCCCCCGACAGCCTTGTTTCCAAGGGCATCACCTCCATCTTGGGTTCCCTGCGTGCAACCTGCATTCACCATCCCACTGCCCTCAGGAGGGAGGAAGGATGCTAGCTGTGCCAGCCCCTCTTTCTCCAGCCCCACACGCCCCGCTCCACCTGTGCTGGACTTGCTTCTGCAATCCGAAGCTCTCCTTTCTCCTCGCCTCACAGCCCTGCCTGTCTGATGAGCACTTTCACCAACCCTCCATGTGCCTGATGCCCGCTCCCTCTCTGGTCTCAGTTTAGGTGTCACTTCCTCCCTGGAAACCTTGCCTGATCCTGCTGAGTGTGGGATGTAGCACAAGAAGTCTCATGCACCCTTCACTGTCCCCTTGTGGGGATGTGTCTGGACTTTAACTATCCAGCATGACAGCCACCGGCCACACGTGGGTACCTTGAAATATGTTGGTTCAAACTGAGATGTGCTCTAAGTGTGAAATATATACCAGATGTCGAAGATTAAGTAAGGACTTATTTTTTTATATTGATTTTAAATGATTATAAATTAATATATTGAATTTTAGCTTCAGTATGAATTTAGGTTCTTTTTATTTTCCTCTGAGTTTATCTAATTTTTAAGTGTTTCTCAAAATTCCAGTTAACATACAGTGTGATATTGGTTAGTATGAATTTCATTTTGTTAATATTGATTTCATATTAAAATAATACTTTGGACATATTGGATCAAGTTAAATAGAGTACTACAATTAATTTCTCCTGTCTCTTATTACTATTTTTTTTAGATTTTATTTATTTATTTGTGAGAGAAAGAAAGAACACACAGTCACAGGGGGATCAGCAGGCAGAGGGAGAAGCAGGCTCCCTGCTGAGAAAGGAGCCCCATGCAGACTCGATCCTAGGACCCTGGAATCATGACCTGAGCTGAAGGTAGCAGCTTAATCGACCGAGCCACCCAGGCCTCCCTCTTATTACTATTTTTAATGTGGCCACAAGAACACTGAAAACTCCTGATGTGGCTTCCTTTATATTTCTATCTGAATAACCCTGGTCTGGGCTGTAAGATCTAGGAGGGAGGGGCCAGGCGGGTCTTGCTCATTTATCATCCCCTGTCCTTTGCACAGTTTGTGGAACAAATTGATTCACTCATGCATCCACAGGTATGAGAGGGCATCCAGAGTAGGCAGAATCCCACCCCGTACCAAGATTTCCTGCTCTGATCCCTGAGACCAAGACTATGATCATCTCACCCCATGATTATGCCAGCTTGCAGATGTCACTGGCCGCTGGTAGCTGGCTTTAAGTTAATGAAGAGGGACGATCTGAGGGGACCTAATGTAATTGCAGGAGCTTTCAATAGCAGAGGCTTTTTCTCTAGCAAGTAGTGGGAGAGAAAGGGAAACTTCAAACATAATTGGGGTTTGCTGTGCTGAGATGGAGGGGAATCGTGGGACAAGGACTGAGAGTGTCCCACATAGTCAAAATGCAGCCCGCGCTGACACCCAGCGAGAAAACGGGGCCCTCAGTCCTACAACCACAAGGAACAGAATCTGCCGGCAACTTGGTTGAACTTGGAGGTGGGCGCTTCCCCAGGGCCTCTGGTCAGCGTTGTCCAGCTTGGTCAACACCTTGACTTTGGCCTCATGAGACCCTAAGAGGAGAACCCAGAGGAGTGCGACTTGGCTTCTGGTGTATAGAAACTGTGGGATAATAAATGGGTGCTGTTTTCGTCACTGAGTTTGTGTTAATTTGTTGTGCATGGATAGGAAACGAGCACAGCTTCTCTCTGTGTCAGGCAGGGTGCCTGGTGCTAAGGGCATAGTAGTAACAAAGACTGACAGAATCTGCACCCTCATGAAGCCTGTATTTTTAGGAGTAAGACAGCCAATGAACAGATACACAAATAGATAAAAGAATAAGGATTTTTTTAAAAAAAATCTGTGGCTCAAAGGAAATGAACAGGGATCTGTATGACAGGCCTCCTTAAGACTTACTGATCAGGGGTGCCTGGGTGGCTCAGTGGGTTAAGGCCTCCGCCTTCGGCTCAGGTCATGGTCCCAGGGTCCTGGGATCGAGCCCCACATCGGGCTCTCTGCTCAGCGGGGAGCCTGCTTCCCTCTCTCTCTCTCTGCCTGCCTCTCTGCCTACTTGTGATCTCTGTCTGTCAAATAAATAAATAAAATCTTTAAAAAAAGAAAGACTTACTGATCATATGACAATTATGATATTTTTCTTAACATGGAATGATGTCCATAATTTTCCAGGAAAGAAAGCAGATTTCAATTCTTCATATGTAGTTCAATCTTATTTTTTGCAGC